GAGGGGGAGGAGGCCTGAGAGGGGGAGGGGGGGGGGGAAAGGAGAAAGTGGGGGGGGGGGGGAATACGAGTTTCCTAAAGATGCGCTGTTCATGTATCTTCCACGTCTTTTTTTTTTTTTTTTTTTGGCCATCAAGGTGATAGTATGTTGTATGAATCCGAAGGTGAAATTGATATCGTATATCTTCGTTCACTTGAAATGAAAATGAAAAGAAATTCGTTTTAAACTCAGATATAAAGTGATCAAGTGAGAGGGTCACGAATGTAAACGATTTAAAGTTAATGGACAGCACGTGTGGTTTCCATTTCAAGATGATGTGCAAGAACAACTAGATTGATAGATGGAGAGATAGATAGGTAAGCAGATAGTAGGATTAGTTAGGTAGGTAGATAGACAGATAGGTAGGGAGATAAGTAAACAGATATAGATAGATAGGTAAGTAGATAGACAGATAGTTAGATAGATAGGTAGGTACATAGACAGATAGATAGATAGGTAGGTAGATAGACAGATAGATAGGCAGGTAGATAGATAGACAGACAGATAGATAGGTAGGTAGATAGATAAAGAGATAGCTAGGTAGATGGATGGATGGATGGATAGACAGATAGACAGATGGCTAAATGCACAGATAGCCAGAGACCCATACATACAGACAGATGAATAGACAGACATAAGGGCTGATAGATAGATGTATCTCACATTTTGATATCAACTGAGTTTGCATACATACTTATTCGCATTTTTTTTTTCGAACTGAACACACTAACACAAACGAATATGTATGGAGGTATTTTCGTCTGTTAAAAAAAAAATATATATTCAATAGACATTAATGATTCTTCAAGCTAGAGATATGAGACTGATAATCTTTATTATTATCATTAAGTTCCATTTTTTTAATGTTTTTTTTTTTCTTGTTTCTTGTTGTTGTTTGTTTGTTAGCGGAATGTCATTAGCATTTATGATTAAAAATTCGTTTTGCAATAGTCTCGAGATAAAAAGATATCTGGTTTACTCCAATTCTTTATATATTGATGGATAATCAAAACGTACATTTTCATTCAAGCCAGTTCATATAACATAAATGACCCCCCCCCCTTTCAAAAAAAAGGTACTCACATAATAATAATAAACTACTAATATGATAAATGAATAACTATATCATAACCGGGCGAGGTGGTGCAGTGGATCACAATTGCATCATGGATAAAAAAATAAAATAAATGAATAAAATAAATAAATAAATAAATAAATAAAATAAAAAAATGGAGATAGGAACAGCGATTATAAATTCATTTGCGGTATTGCAACAATATTAATACGAGCATTAAGCTATTCATAACCATAATGTCAACTTCTATAAACCCATGGAAATCAGTTGATGAATAGGTAATGAATTGTTTGAATAGATGCATGAATGAAGGAATTTATGAATATATGAATACAAGAATAATTGAAAGGGTGAATAGATAGATAAATAAATAAATGCCTGATTAATCAAACTGGTGAATAAATTAGATATTGAATTAACGAAAGAACAAATTGATAAACGAACAGTGAAACAAACGAACAAATTAACAAAGAAATACACAAAACAAACAAAAAACAACATAAACAACAGAACAAAAACAAACACAGAAAACTGCCACAAACACAAGCAAATACAAAACAAACACAGAAAACTGCCACAAACACAAGCAAATACAACAGAACAAAAACAATCAGAGAACTTCTACAAACACAAGCAAATACAACAGAACAAAAACAAAACACGGAAAAATGCCACAAACACAAGCAAATACAACAAAAACAAACACAGAAAACTACCACAAACACAAGCAAATACAACAGAACAAAAAACAAAACACAGAAAACTACCGCAAACACAACCAAATACAACAAGAAAAAAACAACCCACATCGTTAAAGAGAGAGAGAGAGAGCACCCAGTCTCCCAGAACAGGCGATCATCACAAACCAAGGGAAAAAAAACAAATTCCTTTGAGACACACACAGACGGAGCTCCCACACTTCAGAGATGCGGTGATGAGGAGAAACAGGGAAGCTTTGCAAAGTGAAATCTAACGTTGCAGAGGAAAACAAGGAGGTGTATTATTGAGAGTGAGAGAGGGAGAGAGATGCAATAGAAGTGTGCAAGACTCGAAATGGCTTGATATTACCGTAAATGGGAATAGATCTCAGTGTGAAAAAAAGGGGGGGGGGTAGATATAGTATGGGGGTAATATTTAAGTGATGTATATGCATGTGTGTGTATAGAGAGAATGGATAGATAGATAGATAGGTCGATAGAGAGGTAAGCAGATAGATAGGTCGATAGAGAGGTAGACACATAGATAGGTCTATAGAGAGGTAGACAGATAGATAGGTCGATAGAGAGGTAGACAGATAGATAGGTCGATAGAGAGGTAGGCAGATAGATAGGTCGATAGAGAGGTAGACAGATAGATAGGTCGATAGAGAGGTAGGCAGATAGATAG